GAGCTGATTTTACTTCTTTTGTTTAAATGTAATTTTGACACTTGAGGTAAACCAAGTCACATTATGTTTAGAGTCTTTTTCTATTTGTTTCTATGAACAGTGTTTTCATCTTTCTTATGATAAATTAAAAATATTTTACATTCATGGCCATTCCAAAGAAAATTCATGACCCAGTAAGTATGTATCTTGTCTGGCCCTTTATAAATAATAGTTCCTGGGTCATTATCCTATCAACTCTTGACTTCTTCTGTATTTTAGTTTTGAGAAGTATCTCCTAATTCCTACTGAACTATTGCTTTCTAACTCAAGAGCTATTCATGAAACTAGGAACTTAGGGCAATACTTCTATTTCCTCATAAACTTTTAGAGAAGACCATAGTTTTGCCTTTTTTTTTTTTTTAATTTTTTTTTTTTAACGTTTATTTATTTTTGAGACAGAGAGAGACAGAGCATGAACGGGGGAGGGTCAGAGAGAGAGGGAGACACAGAATCTGAAACAGGCTCCAGGCTCTGAGCTGTCAGCACAGAGCCCGACGCGGGGCTCGAAATCAGAGACCGCGAGATCATGACCTGAGCCGAAGTCGGCCGCTTAACCGACTGAGCCACCCAGGCGCCCCAGTTTTGCCTTTTTTACCTATCACGAAAAGTCTCTAACTGAGTTGACTGCCCTTGAATGTTGAATCGTTGTGTTATGGTAAATATTCCAGCCAAGTCAACAGGGTCCTTCAGGATAAGCAGCTGAGGGTTCTCTGATGGTGCATGGCTGGTTTAAGGTGAGGAAGGAAACCTCAATATTCCAATGAGGAGAGTCATAGAAGTTCCTCTCTCTAGGTTCTGATTCTTTTCTTTGTTCTGCCATAGGAGCAGAGCTGGAGGTTTGGAGTCTAGGGTCATCTAAGTCAGCTCAAGAAATATACTCCACAGCTAGAGATTGTCTGTGAGTCCTCCCCCTCCTCTGCGCTGGCTGCCTCTAGGAGAGGAATGGTGTTAGTTGTTGATATTAATGGGGACTGTTGGAGGTCAGCCACCTGAGGGGTAATTTCCATAAGCACTGATCTCATCTGCATGATCTCATCTCTCTGACTGGTTTTACAATAACTCATACTTGGAACTGCAGTTGTTGATGTGATTTGGGGGCTTGGAGGCACATGGTCCTGTTTTTAGAAATTGGTCCTTCTCCCCACAGAGGCACCTCCTTTAGTGATGATGGGTCCTGAACATTTTCTTTTCTTCTTTCTCCTCTCCTTTCCATCCCTCCCTCCTCTCATCTCCTGCCTTCTCCTTTCCTCCCCTCCTCTGTCACATCGAGTTCACAGTGAAACTCTGCTATCTGGTGGATTTAGTCTTGAATTGGAAATTGAGGGAGAATGTCTTGGACTCTTTTGCTAATTTCCTTTGTAAACACTAGAAAGTTATTCTGCTTCTCTGTGAACTCTGCCTCTGAAAAAGAAAGAGATTATATGATATGTTATTTTCAACGTTTATGAAGACTAAAAATGTTGAAGTGAGCTAAAGTAGTGTTAATAATGCCTATAAATTTTTTTCTATTCTTGTTTTCTTTTTTGAATATGTAGAACATTAATATGTTTCTAAAAGTCAAACTTATTCTAAAAGGTATATGTGAAGGGGTATCTCTCCCTCTTGTATCCCTTCTCCCAACTCCTTGTGGGTAACTTCATTTCTAGTTTCTTTCTCTCTGCAGAAATGAACACATATATATTTTTTCTTATTTCCTCTTTTTCTTACACAAAAGGTAGTATATGATACATGCTATTTTAGACTTTGTCTTTTTCACTTAATAGTGCATCCAGGAAATCACTCTTATAAGTTCAGAGACTTACTCCTCTTTTTTTCACAATTGCATAGACTCCACTGAATATGTTCTACAGTTTATTCAATCAGTCTCCAACTCAGGGGCATGTAGGTAGTTCCAGTGGTTTTTTTTTTTTTTTTTTTTTTTTTTTTTTTTTTTTTTTTTTTTTTTTTTAAGTTTATTTATTTATTTTGATGGAGGGAGGGAAGGAGGGAGGGAAGGAGAGAGAGAAAGAGAGAGAGAGGGAATGGGTGGATAGAATGTATGGGGGGGGCAGAGAGAGAGAGGAGAGAGAGAAAGAATCCCAAATAGGCTTCAGGCTTCTGGCACAGAGCCCAATGGGGCGCTCAAATTCACGAACTGTGAGATCATGACCTTAGCTGAAATCAAGAGTAAGATGCCTAACCAACTGAGCCACCCAGGTGCACCTACTTCCAGTATTTTTGCAATTACAAATAATGCTGCAATGAATAATTTTCTGCACATATTTTTGCATTGTTGGAGGTGTATCTTCAGGGTAGAATCTTAGAAGTGGCATTATTGGGTCAAAAGGTATAGATACTCCCTTACACAGCAGTTGTGCATTCTGAGTTCCCTCTAGCAATGAAAGAGGTACTGGTCTCCTTACAGCCTTCCCCAAGGGAATGAGTGGTCAAACTTTTGAATCTTTGCTAATAGGATGGGTGAAAAATGGTATCTCAATGTAGTTTTAATTTGCATTTCACTTACGAAGTTGAACATTTTCTCATATATTGAGGTCCATCTCTCTCTTTTTTGTGTGTGTGTGAAATTGTTTTTTTCTTTTGTCCCTAAAAAAGTAGGATTTTTACTTTTTTTCTCTAAACTTAATATATACTTTATGTAAATATATGTGTAGATATGTAGTAATCATATATAAAGATATATATAAAATATATATGTTAATATTAGGGACATTAGCCATTTATCTGTGTTACATGTTGCAAATATTTTCTTCTAATTCATCATCTTTTAACTTTGCTAATGGTGTGTTTTGCCATGGAAAAGTTTAGAACAATTTTGTGCTTAAATTTGTTAAATATTTTCTTAAAAATTGGATGGTTAGAAAGCCTTATCCTATGCTCATAGTATGGAGTGATACCTATTGTTCATTGAGGGCTTGCCATGTAAAACGTACTGTTCTGAGGACTTCTCATACATTAATCACTGAAAGAGTTCTGTGAGCTAGCAGGAAACAGCAGCTTTGGACACATAAACCTTGGCTATGTCCGGTCATAGAAGTTGGCTAATTTCTGGCTTCAATACCTCCCAGCTGTATGACCTTGCACTTGGCATGTTCTGAGTTCTAGTGTCATTATCCCTCAAGATGCTACCTCTAGATAGCATCTCCATCATAGGGTTGTCGTGAGAATTAACCTAAGTTAATATCTGAAAGGGCTTTGAACAGTTTCTGACACATAGTGTTGGATAAAGGTTGGATATTTAATTATTGTACTGTAGTATTTCAGTTTTAAATATCAAGATTATAACCCCATTGTTTAAATTAAGCAAAATTCTGACATCACCTAAATGTTGTTTATATTTCTTTTACTAGAGGTGTTAAAGATCACCATGAAACAGTGTCTTGTTTTTTACACTCTTTATCTTATTGTAGCTTAAGTCAGATACTCAGATCTGGGTGTCTTGGGAAAGGCAAGAAGGGAGGACAGTTTGGGACATGGCAAGAGCAGATTATAATTTTAAACCATTAATGCTCATGTTTTGTTAGTTAAATATGAATAATTCTAGTTATTGATTCTTCTAAAATGTGTTATTCATAAAGTAAACTTTTTTTGTTACTGGAGTTTACGAGGGATTGAATTCAACATTTTATAAATGTTTCTGGTTGCCAGGCTCTATGTGACCATGCTGCAAAGTTCATCCTGTGTGACATCACCTGCCTGTAGTGGAATCTTGGATAAATTACTGCTATTTTAATTTCATTTTTAGCAACTTACTTTGTTGTGGGTTGTTTGGTGAATCTTTTAGTGTTTGGCCTATGATTTCTCAGTCACTGGTCTTTGAGACCTGCATGCATTGCTTTACAAATATGAAACATCTGCCTTATTTGCACTATTTGTTTGCGAATATGAATCATCTGCTTTTATTAAAGCAGCTGCATGAGCCTTAACCCCCTCCTCGATTTACTTGTATAGTGAGACTTCATTACCACTGCTGGGTTCTTTTTTGTTTTTTGTTTTTTAAATTTTTTAGGGGCGCCTGGGTGGCGCAGTCGGTTAGGCGTCCGACTTCAGCCAGGTCACGATCTCGCGGTCCGTGAGTTCGAGCCCCGCGTCAGGCTCTGGGCTGATGGCTCAGAGCCTGGAGCCTGTTTCCGATTCTGTGTCTCCCTCTCTCTCTGCCCCTCCCCCGTTCATGCTCTGTCTCTCTCTGTCCCAAAAATAAATAAACGTTGAAAAAAAAAATTTTTTTAATTTTTTAAAACGTTTATTTATTTTTGAGAGAGAGAGAGAGAGAGAAACCAAAGCTCTGAGTTGTCTGCACAAAGCCCTATGTGGGGCTCAAACTCATGAACCATGAGATCCTGACCTGAGGTGAAAGACACTTAACCGGCTGAACAACCCAGGCACCCCATGTTTTTTTCTTTCTTTTTTTTTTTATAATGAGAATTTGGATTGAGGTGGTTGGTACACCAGTTGGTCCTTTGGTTTACCTCAGTTGGCCATGGCCAAAAAATTTTAAAGCAATTCTCTTAGATTATTTAGCAATTTTCCCCTGCTATTGTTGGCCTAAAAATTGAAAGTATTTTTACCTTTCATTTTAGCCTTAAACTTTAATTATGATACTTTAGGTACAAACAGTTTTATATGATTAAGCATGGAAACTATTGTAGTCAACACTACAGAGTTAAATAAAACTTGGCCTTTAATTTTGCTTGCTTTAAAATGGCTAGAATTGTTGTCTCTGTTATAGTATTCTTCTGAATTTAATTTGGGGTTATCACAGTTCTTATTTTACACATTCTACTTAAAAAGTGTTGATATTTTAAATCTCTCACAGCACTTAATGTAGAAAGTATTCAATATTAGTTCTTAATTTGATATCTTCTTTCCCATTCTCTGTTCATGTTTCCTCAGTATAGAGGCATGATTAGAAACTCATTCATTTCAAGTTGTGATACATTGATTATCTATTTTTGTGTCTTCAGGTTATCAGAGAGAACTTCTCTATCAGAGGGAAGATGGCTCTTTCAGTGCTTTTGGGAATGATGACCCTTCTGGTAGTACTTGGTAAGTGTTTTACTAACAGAACAAATCTGCCATGAATGGGCTCTCATTAGCCAATTAGTTGCCAGTTAATAGCCAATGGGCTCTCAAAATGGCCATGAAATTGACAGATGTGTCCCTGTGTATATAGGCTTGTAGGTTTCTTTTCCTGTTGCCTGGCTTTAAAGTAGATTTTCCTTTTAAAATATGGCTTTAAAGCAATAATAAGTAAAGTGTTTTTATTTAGAAAAGATAAGTCATACATCCTTTTTTTCGTGGTGAGAAAAACAATAAAAATACTTACAATGATCGTGTCATTGACAAGAAAAACGGGTTAGAAATACTGAGTGATTGTGACATAGTTCTTTTCTTTATTTTTTGAAAGTTTTTTTATTAGAGAGAGAGCATTCAAGCAGAGGGAGGGCAGAGGGAGGAGAGAGGCTCCTATACTCCCTCACTCAGTGTGGAGCCTGACACAGGGCTTGATCCCACCATCCTGTGATCTTGACCTGAACCATAATCAAGAGTTGGATGCTCAGCTGACTGAGCTACCCAGGTGTCCCAACATAGTTCTTTTCTTAATCAGACATGATGAATACAAATTTTGTGTTAACACAGTCAACATTGTTTCTTTAAGGTTATTATTATTATTATTATTATTATTTTTTTTTTTTTTTTGTGGAAAACAGTGATAGAATTAAGTAATAAACATCCACATTTCCTCCAGAATGGAATCTATGTGTGGCTGATTTTGGATGATTACTTTCTCTCCTTGGATTATTGTTAATTCTACATTTCACTCAGAAGAAGATTGACTAACTGTAGCCGTCAGGTTAGACCAGGCACACTGTGGTAACAACCACCCCTAAAATCCCTTAACACGGGTTTTTCTTGCTCAGGCTGCATTTCTTCTTTGGGTCGGCAGGGGGCTCTGTAATCTACTCAACAGCCACCATCTCACCAGGAGGCTCTAGGCTTGCAGCAGCTTGGAAAGAGAAGGCTGGAGTATCCACCACTGGTAATCAGGTGCTTCAACCTGGGTGCAATATTTCTTCTCAGTTTATCATTATCAGAGCTGGTCACATGGCCATGCTTAACTTCAAAAGGGCAAAGAAGTGTATTTCTCTGCATACTCAAAGTAAAATAGAGGACCAGATATTACTGAATATTGGTGATATTTATCACACTAAACATTTCATAGGATGAACCATATCTGCTTCAGATATTCTTTTGGCATGCATCAGGATATAGATCCATAAATAGAAAGGTTTCAGTGTTTTATTGCTTGATGATCTTTTCATCTAAATATTTAGGTGAAATATTGTTCTGTAGCAAGCATTGGCAAACTTTTGCTATAAAGGCTCAGATAGTAAATATGTTAGGCATTGCAGGCCACATAAAGTCTCTGGTGTTTTCTTTCTTTCTTTCTTTCTTTCTTTCTTTCTTTCTTTCTTTCTTTCTTTCTTTCTTTCTTTCTTTCTCCCTTCCTTCCTTCCTTCCTTCCTTCCTTCCTTCCTTCCTTCCTTCCTTCCTTCCTTCCTTCCTTCCTTCCTTCCTTCCTTCCCTTTAAAAACCATGCTCAGGTGGAGGGTGGTGGAAGAGAGGCACACGTAAATAGACCCTGGGCTGGATTTGGCACAAGGACCAGATTTGGCCCAGACAGATTTGGTTCGTAGGCTGTAATGTTCTGACTCCTGTCTCATAGGAGAGAAACTATCCATTTTTGCTAGTTTAACGTACTCTGGTTTGACTGTGAATTATATATAGTTAATCCATGGCTTTAGGGCTGAGTGAAGTGTGTGGTGGGATCTTCTTTGGTAAATACCTAGAAAAGTCCAAAGATGATAACCTTGGACAATTTCTTCAACTCTCCTGGAGTGTTGAATTCCCAATCTATAAAATAATAAGGCAGGATTAGATGATTTCTAAATCCCTTTCCAAATCTGGTATTTTGTGAGTTGACCTGGAATTTCTTGACCACACTCAAGTGGAAAATGTATCCACCAGCTGGGCTGAGATGTTTATGTTGTTTCTTGGTTGTCTTTCTTACCTTTGTTCTTTCTTTAGTGATCATCCTTTGGTGAATCTTCTGGTAGAAAATATGTTGTTATTGTTGATATTTTCTCGTTCACTGTTAGAGGACTTCATAGAGTGTATTTTATATGTTTTTTCTCCTTTCTCACCTAGGTTGTCAGCTTTTGTTTTAAGATGTTTCCTTGAAGCTGATCCTTACATAGATATTGATGAGAATGTGTTACACAGAACATATACTTGGCTCAAAGGACGTCAGAAATCCAATGGTGAATTTTGGGAGCCAGGAAGAGTGATCCATAGTGAGCTTCAAGGTGGCAATAAAAGTCCAGTGACACTTACAGCTTATATTGTGACTTCTCTCCTGGGCTATAAAAAATATCAGGTATTTAATCTTTAATTTAATAAATGATGGGTGGAAAATCGCAAGGAAGGTAGGTCTTGATGGATCAAATGTATGTCTGGAAACTTAAAGACTTTTGCAATTGTATATCACTTTTGAGGTCTGAATTTGGACACCTTTGGCTTTGCATTTCTGGCTTTATTTTAGAATCTGAAAATGAAAATATTAACCCACTCTTTCAGAATAACAAAGAGAATTCTAAAAATTTTTTTTAATATAACTGTTTTTGTACTTGCTATTGGTAAGGTAAATCAATACATATTTTATCATTGGAAAGGTTAATTTCTTAGGGGAAAGAAAATTCTTCAGAATTTGGGAATGTATTCTAGCATATTTAGATTGCAAAGGATTTTTTTTAATTTCTAAAATAATATGGAGCAATGACCATGTCTGCTAATTTAGTACATAGTACACCGACACTCTAAAAAGCATGTTAAATAGGCATGGATGTCTGGATGAGAATGTGTATACATGGAAAGTTATGTTAATGAGCTTAATTATGCTCCAGAGCTGTCTCAGTGATTGATGCCTTTATTGCCTTAATGCCAGCTGCATTTCACATGATTGAAAACAGCCATTCTCTGTTGTAAGCTCCTGCCATTTCCCTAGTCCAGTACTAGGCACATGGAAGATAAACTTTCCCCTAAAGTTAGAGCCTTAACACCTGAGATCAGATATGAGTAACATTTTTCTCAAGCTATATTTTGTGCTGTCATCTGAGTTCATGATATTAAATGGTAGAAAAAATTCTATTTTTTATTTCTTATTCCTTCTAGGGAATGGTGCCTATTTACTCATAAAAACTGGAAAGCAGTGTTCTATTTTTTTAAAAATTTTTTTTCTTTTCTTTCCTTCCTTTCTTTCTGTTTTTATTTAAATTCCAGTTACTTAACATACAGTGTAATATTACTTTCAGGTGTAGAATTTAGTGATTCAACACTTCCATACATCACCTGGTGCTCATCACAAGTGTACTGCTTTAGTCCCCATCACCTATTTCACCCATCTCCCCATTCTCCTCCCCTCTGATAACCATCAGTTTGTTCTCTATAGTTAAGAGTCCATTTGCCTCTCCCTCATTTTTACCTCCTTTGTTCATTTGTTTTTTTTTTTTATTTGTTTTGTTTTTTAAATTCCGCATCTGAGTGCAATCCTATGGTATTTGTCTTTCTCTGACTTATTTTGCTTAGCATAATCCTTTCTAGCTCCATCCATGTCATTGCAAATGGCAAGATTTAATTCTTTTTTATGGCTGAGTACTATTGCAGTGTGTGTGTGTGTGTGTGTGTGTGTGTGTGTGTGTGTGTGTGTTTGTATGTGTACTACATCTTCTTTATCCATTCATCAGTTGGTGGACACTATGGCTGTTTTCATAATTTAACTGTTGTAGACAATGCTGCTATAAACATTGGGGTGCATGTATCCCTTCGAATCAGTATTTTTGTATTCTTTGGGTAAGTGCCTAGTAGTGAAATTGCTGGATGGTAGGGTAGTTCTATTTTTAATGTTCTGAGGAACCTCCAGAGTGACTGTACCAGTTTGCATTCCCACCAACAGTGCAAGAGGGTTCCCGTTTCTCCATATCCTCGCCAACACCCGCTGTTTCTTGTGTTGTTGATTTTAGTCATTCTGACAGGTGTGAGGTGATATCTCATTGTAGTTCTGATTTACATTTCCCTGATGATGAGTGATGTTGAGCATCTTTTGATTTACCCATTGCCATCTGTATGTCTTCTTTAGAAAACTGTCTATTCATATCTTCTGCCCATTTTTAAAAAGATTTATTTTTTTTATTTTTAAGTAATCGCTACACCCAACATGGGGCTCAAACTCATAGCCCCAAGATCAAGAGGCATATGATCCACTGACCAAGCCAACCAGGTGCCCCTCTTCTGTCCATTTTTAATAGGATTATTTGCTTTTTGGGTATTGAGTTGTATCATTTCTTTATATATTTTGGATACTAACCCTTTATCAGATATGTAATCTGCAAATATCTTTTCTCATTCCATAGGTTTGCCTTTTAGTTTTGTTGATTGTTTTCTTTGCTGTGCAGAAGCTTTTTATTTTGATGTATTCCCAATAGTTTATTTTTGCTTTTGTTTCCCTTGCCTTCAGGAGACATACCTAGAAAGAAGTTACTATGGCCAGTGTCAAAGAGGCCTGTGTTCTCTTCTAGGGTTTTATGGTTTCAGGTCTCATATTTAGGTCTTTAATCAATTATGAATTTATTTTTGTGAATGGCATAAGAAAGTGGTCCAGTTTCATTCTTTTGCATGTTGCTGTCCAGTTTTCCCAACACCATTTGTTGAAGAGCCTTTTTCCTATGGGATATTCTTTCCTACTTTATCAAAGATTAATTGACCATGTAGTTGTGAGTTCATTTCTGGATTTTCTATTCTGTTGATATGTGTGTCTGTTTTTGTGCCACTACCATACTGTTTTGATTACTACAGTTTCATAATATAACTTGAATTCTGGAATTGTGATGCCTTCAAGCTTTGCTTTTGTTTTTCAAGATTGCTTTGGCTATTCAGGGTCTTTTGTGGTTCCATACAAATTTTAGGAGTGTTTGTTCTAGCTCTGTGAAAAATGCTGGTGGTATTTTGAGAGGGATTGTATTAAATGTGTAGATTTCTTTGGGTAGTATAGACATTTTAACAAATGTGTTCTTCCTGTCCCTTAGCATGAAATGTCTTTCCATTTGTTTGTGTCATCTTCAATTTCTTTCATCAGTGTTTTATAGTTTTCAGAGTACAGGTCTTTCACCTCTTTGGTTAGGTTTATTCTTAGATATCTTATTGTTTTTTCTGCAATTATAAATGGGTATGATTCCTGCATTTCTTTTTCAAAAGCAGTGTTATTTTCAAAATGAATAGCAAATATTTAAATGTCAATGATCATCATTGATTCCTATTGCCTAGGACAAAGTTAGGGGCTTAACAGACACTGAAATTATTTTTTGAATAAATGTTTAAAAATACTTTTCATTTAAATGTGTGGTTATGGGTTATTTTGAATAGTAAAATATATGTTTTTTTTTTCTAGCCTAATATTGATCTACAAGAGTCTATCAACTTTTTGGAGTCTGAATTTAATAGAGGAATTTCAGACAATTATACTTTAGCTCTTATAACTTATGCACTGTCATCTGTGGGGAGCCCTAAAGCCAAGGAAGCTTTGAATATGCTGACTTGGAGAGCAGAACAAGAAGGTAATGCATGGGGTCATTTGAGATTGTTAGACTGCTATGCATTATGAAATATATAAATTATGTGAAAAGGTTTTGTAAGCCAGATATGAAGTTGATAACATTTATATCTTCAGAATGTGAAGAGGGGTGCCTGGGTGGCTCAGTGGATTAAGTGTCCAACTTTGGCTTAGGCTATGATCTCATGGTTCGTGAGTTTGAGCCCTGCATCAGGCTCTGTGCTGACAGCTCAGAGCCTGGAGCCTGCTTTGGATTCTGTGTCTCCCTCTCTCTCCGCCCCTCCCCTACTCATGCTCTGTCTCTCTCTGTCTCTCAAAAATAAATAAACGTTAAAAAAAATTGTGAAATGGAAGAAAAATGAAATGCAGATGAGATCAGATGGGTCTGACATGGCTGCTTCTGCTCTACCTGAGTTTTCTAGAGAATTCGGGGCTTGGTTGTTTCCTTCTTTTAGATATGTTCTGCCCTATGTCAGTTACCTTTTGAGTTCTCTGATACCATTTCTGGTTGGGTGGCCTTCAATGGTCCGTAGGATGTTGGGTTGTGGAGAGACTTGGGTTTGAATTCTGGTTCTGCTACTTGCTTTTATAAGCTTCAGTTTCCCTAGATGTAAAATGGGAATAACTCCTAGCAAATGTTTAAAATTTGAATGAATATGCTAACTCATAGAATGCGAATGCCACAAAATGCTGTTATTGAGTTGGATGACTTTTTGTTTTAATGAACTACAACAGGACAAAAAGTACAGGTGTTGCTACTTCCCAAATGGCCTCTTTGGTCAGGGATCCAGGGAGTGGTGTGGGTGTGTGAGGGAGACAGAGAGAGAGATAGGTAGATAGACAGACAGACAGACACAGAGATGGGGATGGGTGGGCAGAAATAATTTTAGGTAATGTCTACTGATTCAAAGCCCTGTTAATTCAAGAAGGGATAATTGTAGAAAGTGTTTTCCACACTACACTACAGAAAGTGATTTCTAAGAGTGTGAAAATATTGCATTATTGTTAGCGGTACCTTAAAATGAATTCTTACTATTTTTTTTTTTTTTTTTGCCTGTTGCAGTGCTGGGGATAGATTATTACACAGAGATGGAAGTCCTTGGTATTCCTTCTCTGCTTGTACAAGTGGTAGTTATTTCACATTCCACCTAAGTGTAATCATCATCTAAAGAGTAATATTTGAAAGTGGTAGGGAGCACCAAGTAAGATGTTCCTCTGGGGGCAGCAGGGATATTTCTAGGAAGATTGTCAAGTTGGCCAGAGTCCTTCATTTTTTCTTGGGGCCTTGGATTTTGAACTTATAACACCAAGTTTCAGATAATGAAAAAAAAAGGCGAGGTTTCCTAGAACATTAGAGCTGGTTAATGGCAGATTCCCAGAACAGGGTTCTTTCTAATGTATCCTAAAATATTTTTGGGATGGCCTGGTCAGAAATCTTCTAGAGTATATGTTTTTTCTCATTTATAGCTGTTTAGTCTCGAGCCAAACATGTGGGATTTCTCTTGGGAAATTATTTTCATCAAAACATTCTAAAATATAAGCAAGAGGAAAAAGATGAAAATTTAAAAGTTATGATAGTTTAGAAAGTGACATATAAGTGAATGTTTATATGTGTGTCTGTGTTTGTGAATACACATGTATTTGCATGGCATAAATATATACGTATATATTTTTATATATAGTCAGGTAGAACTTGGACCAGTGTAGGGATATTTAATGGTATAAAATGTAATTTTTGTTCAGTTGGTCAGACTATTATTACTTGTCTTTTGCAGAAGGCATGCAATTCTGGGTGTCTTCAGAGTCTAAACTTTCTGAATCCTGGCAGCCACGCTCCCTGGATATTGAAATTGCAGCCTATGCGCTACTTTCACACTTCCTGCAATATCAGGTTTCTGAGGGAATCCCCATTATGAGGTGGCTAAGCAGGCAAAGGAATAGCTTGGGAGGTTTTGCGTCTACCCAGGTGAGTGATGATAGTTTTTAACTTTTTTAATGTTTATTTATTTATTTTGAGAGAGAGTGCACACACACAAGCCTGGGAGGGGCAGAGAGAAGGAGAGACACAATCCCAAGCACTCTGGTGCAGAGCCTGATGTGGGGCTCGAACTCACGAACCATGAAGTCATGACCTGAGCCGAGATCAAGAGTCGGATGCTTAACTGACTGCACCACCCAGGCGCCCCATAGTTTTTAATTTTTTAAACTAATTAATAGTTTAAATATATACGCAATGTTTTTTTTTTTTTCCAACGTTTATTTATTTTTGGGACAGAAAGAGACAGAGCATGAACGGGGGAGGGGCAGAGAGAGAGGGAGACACAGAAATCGGAAACAGGCTCCAGGCTCCGAGCCATCAGCCCAGAGCCTGATGCGGGGCTCGAACTCCCGGACCACGAGATCGTGACCTGGCTGAAGTCGGATGCTTAACCGACTGCGCCACCCAGGCACCCCAACGTAATGTTTTAAAGGAAGTATATGATTGCTTTTTTCATGACTTCATAAAATTGGCAATTAAAAAATTTAGTACCTTAAGTCAAAGGTCTGAGTTACTCATTTTAATTTTTTCTCATCACTGATATAAACAACGTATCTGATATGTATATGGAATAAATTAGTTCCCCATTATGTTGGTCATCTTTCATCTATGGTAACTGATACAGTAGATACTCAGCTTCAATCAGCAGATATTTTCCACACCTCTCCTGTACTGTAGGTCAAGGACATTCAAAAATGAATAAAGGAGAGCTCCACTCTCAAGGAAGGTGGATGAATGCATAGTGGGTGTCCTAAACATTACTAAATTTACTCTTTGGTGACCTTGATATATACTTACATGCACACATGTTGTTCTTTCCTCAACAGGACACCATTGTGGCCTTGAAGGCCCTATCTGAATTTGCAGCTCTAATGAACACAGAAAGTACAAACGTCCAAGTGACTGTGATGGGGCCCAGTTCACCAAGTCCTATAAAGTTTCAGATTGACAGACAGAACCGCTTTCTTCTCCAGATGGCAGAGGTATGGACAAGGGGGTGGTTATTTAAAATTCCATGTGGATGATTCCTTATGCTGGAATGCTATTTTATTTCCATTCTATCGACTTCAACAAAGACTTGTTTCTAGAACCTTGTAAAGGGACTGGGGGGAAGGAGTGTCCTCCGTTGGTTGAACTGCTGAGCTGGGGAAGAAAGGAGGGGATGGGAACTTTGGAAAGATTTGGAAAAGGAGGAACCATGGGCTCTATCATATTGGGAAAAGAATGAACACACCTGTTGAGTTCCTATTCTTTGCAGGCACTGTGCCAGATTTCTTTACATGTGCTATTGCATTTACTTCTCAAACCGACACTAAGAAAGTAAGTACTTTCATCCCCACCATGCACATGATAAAACTGAAGCTGAGACAGAGGTTAAGTAACTTGTTTAAGATTATGTTGCTAGTAATAGTAGAGCTAGGGTTTGAACCCATGATTTCAGGCCATGTTCTTTTTTAGCTAGACCACATGTCCTCTTAGGAAAATTGATAGAGCCAGTAGTAGGATTCTTCCTTTGAAACGTTAATAAAGGACTATTCTAGACCCTAACTTTATTCCTGTGGTTAACCTTGTGGGAAGTTGAGAGTGAGGGATGAAAGTGCTAACTTCAAGGCTGAAAAATGAGGAAGAGGAATAGTGATAGAAGAGAAGGAATAGTGTTAATCATAATCAATGATCATGTGCCACTGGGTTCGTGGGAAGGCCAGAAGATTAGGTGCTGACTAAGGGACACTGGAGGAGGGAGATGACCTTTGTTTCTTGTCTTTCCTGCTTCAGAAGGGCAGCCCTGACTATGGCACTGATGTGCCCTCCCAAAGGGCAAAGGTGAGGGTGTGTGGAGAGTGTCCCTTCATCTGTCTTCACCTCTCTTCTCTGATGAGCCCATAGCTTTTGATATGTGAGACTGTGCAAAATTCTTAGAGCTTTTCACAGATGGCATACACTCCTAGTGAGGGATAACACTGATCTCTTGTGCTACCTGGAAGGACCTAGATATGGAATATTAACCTTATTCACCTTTTTTCCACCTTTATTCAGCTTTCAGTGGTACAGCCAACTGCAGTTAATATTTCCGCAAGTGGTTTTGGATTTGCGATTTGTCAGGTATGTAACAATGTTTATTTTTGTTTAGTTAAATATGGCTTGTTTTAATAATTTTGGGGGGTACTGCTAAATCTTTAACTTAATGTATAAAATTCTTGAGGATTTATTTCTGTGGACTTAGGCAAGATAGATCACTCTCTTTAATAAAAAGTATTAGAGATGTTACTAGTAGTCAGTTGACAGTAACCAAATGGATTGATAACCTTGGAAAAATATTTCCTGAGTATCATATGCTTTTTGAAGTTAGGATTAATTCTTCCAATGTGATTCATGTGACTTGTTGGGAACTCCCAACTTTCACTTTTTTTGTGAAAATACAGCTCAGAAATTCTAATGCTGGGAGAGTTTCTACTATGACTTGATAAATAAATACATTTTAAATTTTACCTATAGCTTTTTAATATCCATTTAAAAACATAAAGGTCAACATGATATTATAAGGAATTGACTTGAAGATAGGAAATGTGTCCTTTTAATGGAAAATCTTATACAATAGTAAATAAAACAATTAGAGCATGATACGTTTAGTGCTTTGTTATAAGAATAAAATCCAACGAAACTTACCCTTAATGGTGCAATAGGGCTAGAATAAAATCAAAATAGTATGTAAAATCCTGAATCAAATAGTTATTATAGTACATAATACATTGAAAATTACAGGGACTTGACATAATCTTTAAAAAAAATTTTTTTTCATGTTCATTTATTTTTGGGAGAGAGAGAGAGAGGCAGAGCATGAGTGCAGGAGGAGCAGAGAAAAAGGGAGACACAGAATCTGAAGGAGACTCCAGGCTCCGAGCTGTCAGCACAGAGTCTGATGTGGGGCTTGAACTCATGAACCGTGAGATCATGACCTGAGCCATTAACCAACTGAACCACCCACATGCCCCGGGACTTGACATAATCTTACTGGAAACCAAAAACAATATGTGATGGGACCAAAAATGGTTATGTGTTTGGTTAGAATATACAAACCAAACAAACCCTGAAAGAGTTACTGAGAAAGTTAAAAAATGGCTATGATAGAGGAAAGTTACTTTTCCAAAAAACCATACAAGTATTCTAGTTGAAAGGACAGATATACTAGCTAAGGAGGGCAGATAGAATTATTTCTAAGTGATTCTAAGATTATTTTGTATGATATTCAAAACATAGTAGTAAATGTTTTTTAAAAATCAAGGAAAAATGATCACAGTTAAAAGGAATAATACCCAACAAAAAGGATAGAAAAAGAAAAGGGTGAATAATTTCTATTTGTCTTTACTAACAAAGGCCATGTGAAAATTCTCATTCCCAAGCTGTCTTTTAATGCAAATAGCAAATCTAAAAGTAAATACAAAGGCTATTTTGGGTATAATTGAAAAACTATATGTACTTAAATCACCAAATTGGTGGGAATTGATTCTTGATAAACCAAATGTAGACGAATTACTGAAGCCAAATGAGTTTTACTTGAGTTTTGAAGGAACACAGCAGTAAATGTGGTACCTACTGGAGTGCCTGGGTGGCTCAGTCGGTTAAGCATCTGACTTCAGCCCAGGTCACGATCTCGCGGTTTGTGGGTTCAAGCCCCACATCAGGTTCTGTGCTGACAGCTCAGAGCCTGGACCCTGATTCAGATTCTGTGTCTCCTTCTCTCTCTGCCCCTCCTTTGCTCATGCTCTGTCTCTCAAAAATGAATAAATTGTTAAAAAAAAATGGCACCTGCTGGTCAGAACACTCACTATTCCAAATCTGTATCAACATGCAGAAATCTTATATAGGCACTTCTCATAATGGAGAAACAAATTGCAAAAAAGTTGGTCACCCAGAAATAGTTACTGAGATTTCTTTTAGTTGATATTTTTGTAAGCACTCTGGATACAGAAAAGCAAAGAAACTTCTCAGGTTTGCAGTAAGTGTTAACCTCTTTGAAGTACTGTTATGCCCAGAATTCGTGATCCCCAAAGACCACTAGGGAGCCGAGTCCGATGCAAAAGCAAAGAGCCTTTATTCGAGCTAGCTCGAGCTCAATCCCCTACCTGCACCGACGCAGCGGTGAGATACCAGGGAAAGAGAGCGAGTTTCAAAAGGACAAAGGTTTTATTGGGGCCTAGGGGCAGTTGGTGAGGTAATGGCTGTGGCCTCAGCTGATTGGCTGGGGAAGGGTCCTGGGGAAGGGTCTGAGTCCAGTTAGGCAGGTGAGGGGGGGTTACTCAAGGGGAGGAGGTGTGGTCAAGGTGAAGGACACAGAACAAGATGGAGTTGGCTGGCGTAGGCCCGCCCTTTCAGTACTAAAATGCTAAACTGTTGGAAATAAACTGCAAGACATCTCAAAGTTTTCTGAATGGGCAGTTGAGCTTTTTGTAGGTCAAACATTAACCCTAATACTACGTTATAGATGAGTATTAATTATGATCCAGAGGACACATTTTGTAGTTCTTGTTTGTTTCCTGATGACGTTGGTCTCTAACGACAATTGCATGCCACTGGAACGAGGATGATGGAAATAACAGAGACCGTCTCTCCAATTTTATGAAACCATTCTTCAGCTCCTCTAAGAATATTCTAAAATTTTAATTGTGGTTCCAGAAAGAGTTAGAGAATATCCAGAGTGAGATAACCAGAATGATCAAGGGAATGAAGGATTATATGAGCTAGGTGTAGCAGAATAAAAAGTTGTAATTCTTAGGTTTGAAAGAGGAAGGCTTAGAAAGAATATTTTTTAAAGTGTGAAAATCAGGGGCACTTGGGTGGCTCAGTCAGTCAGTGAAGTGTCTGACTCTTGGTTTCGACTCAGGTCATGATCTCACAGTTCATGGGTTCAAGACCCGTGTCAGGCTCCAGTGCTGACAGTGCAGAGCCTGCTTGAGATTCTCTATCTCTCCCTGTCTCTCTGCTCTTCCCCTGCTCATACACGTGCTCATGCTCCACCCCCCCAAAAGTAAAGAAATAAAATTAAAAAAAATTTGAAGTGTGAAAATCTACAGTGGGTACTAGGTGTTTAGTTCTGAGGGTGTGTGTGTGTGTGTGTGTGTGTGTGTGTGTGTGAGATTTAAGTATAAGAAAATACAACATTACATAGCAACAATAAGGCTTATGAATTGTGGTATCAAAAAAGGTGGAAGAGGTACAAAATTGCAATAGGTTCCAATTCAACTTGGCATGAGGCAGGTGTAGGAAATTTTGAGTGTATTCCAGAGCTTCTGATCTTAGGAACTCTTTGGGGAAAAAAATAACAACAAAAACAAACAAACAAAAAAACAACAAAAAACAAAAAACAAAACTTGCCCTTACACTTGCCCAGTGTCCCCACAGTACCTTTCACACTAGTGGTAGGCACAGAGTATTTGCTGAAAAAGACCAAGTTGTCTTGAAATTCATCATTTATTTTATCATCTTTGAAAAATGTTATATGGTCAAAAAGAATGCAGAGTAATTGAACAGGTTTCTGTTCAACCAGGGCTCTTGAATGTTTTATTTTTGATTCATTTTACTGAGAGTTTCTAAGGTTCCCATTTGTGCAAATGACACCAGTTGGGCAGCAGAACTTAGGAGTTAGCAGATGCTCTCAAGAGGAGATAGGCAGTAGTATTGCTTCTTTTCCTAAAGGGAATGTTCTACATTCTTTGGAAGGAAAAAAAGCCATACCCATAATATCGTGAAGGTCTATACTTGTTTTGGAGTATTAGCTAATAATTCCCTCAATTTTAAAAATCATTGCTTATAAGCTTTTATAACACTTGTTAATAATAGTACTTTTTTAGCTAGTAAAACTAGCTTTTTCCTTGATTGAAGATTACAGTTCTAGTTGGGTTTATCCCAAAGAGAATCATTACCTGATATTTATAATACATAATGGTGGTAATATATTGCTAATGATTTATTACTAGTTTAGTATTTATGTTAATTTATTATTTATTGCAGCTTAATGTTATTTATAATGTGAAAGATTCGGGTTCCTCCAGAAGACGAAGATCTGTTCAAGACCAAGAAGCCTTTGATTTAGATGTTGCTGTCAAAGACAATAAGGATGATATAAATCACTTGAATTTGAATGTGTGTACAAGGTTGGTATCTGTTTAAGTCCTTTCTCTTAAAAAAATAGATTTGAAGGTTTTATTATATATATGTAGTTATCTAACTATACCAATATAAGGAGTTACATTTAACAAAGATTTTAGTTATGATTACACTTCCAATTACAAATTAGAAATTCTGTTTAATTCTATTTAAGTATTTTTCAATGCGTCCAAAATTGTTTACAAGTTTTCCTTGTATTCATAACAAATCTGAATAGAAAATGTTAATAAAATGTAGGTCTAATTTAAGAAAACTTTAAATGAACCAATCATGTTTAAACTCTAATATCATTTATTTCTTGGCAGTTAGTAATTTTCTGTCAAATAATTATTCCAGTTTCATATTTAACCTTTAGTGTTATGCTTTTATCCCAAGACTTCATAAGAATATGCAAATTTAATGAAGAGAATGGGGTTTTTAGACACAGTGGAAATCTTCCAGTTTAGAAGGTCCTCACCTTGGATAAATAGGCACTTTTAGCTTCTAGGAGTACTTAATAAGGCGATTCTTAAATTTGTTCTGTATCCAAAGCATCTGAAGATCTTGTCAAAAGGAAAAGGGGTTCCCACTCACAGACTTCACAGATTCAGAATCTGTGAGCTGCCTTCTTCAGCTTTCTTGGTCATTCTAATGCACACACAAGTTTGAGAGCAAATCCTTTAGAAGGTTCTTGAATCAAGAGACTTTACAGTTTCTTCCTTGTCAGTCCTCTTACCTCTGCATGATTTGATGTAATGTGGGGAGTTACTGTAAAGATGCATTGACATTGAGGAGCTGCTGTTTGCTCTTTTTAAATACCCCATAGTGATCTGGTTGAGCTTAGCTTGTTGTTGGGCTGGAAGTCACTGATGTGGTACTGAGCTGGCAGATGCTCTTCAGAGTCATCTCTGAGTATTTCCCCCGGTGGCCAATTTTTTTAGCCATTTCTTGTTGAATCCAGTCTCCTTTGTTACTGCTACTAGAAACTGAGGAAAATGAAAAATGAAATTCATCTGGAATCACCCCTAAAACACAGAGTTGCCCACGGAAGGGGCATCCAGATTGAACCTGTTATAATCTACAGGCACAAGGCTGATACATTGCAGGCATACTAGTACAGATATACTATCTTTGGGCCTTCATGTTCATGATTTTGGTATAAATGTCAAATGTGTTTGCCCCTTTCCTTCCCTTACTGGGCATTTTGGACCAGCAGGAGGGGGATATCAGAATTTCTTCAGTGACTTCCTTTTAGCTAAGAAGAAAGTTATTCCTTGCAAAGCTTGTGATTGGGTTCTTCCCCGGAAGAGCAGCATCAAGTTATTATTATTATTGTAAGTAGTAATAACCTACACTTATCACAAATTTACATGCCAGGCATTATACCAGGCACTTTTACATGCATCTCATTTAATCTTTACAATAACTCTATAAAGCAGGTGGTATTATTAACCCTGCTTTTCTCATTCATTCACTCACCATTTATTCACTCTTCATTCATTCATTCATTCATTCATTCAGTAAATATCATTTGAGTCTCCATTATGTGCCAAACACAGTGTCAGATGTTGGAATATAATGGTGATTTAAAAAAGACACAGGCCCTGTCTTCATGGAATTTACTGTTTGGAGGGGAGACAGAAATTAATAAAAATAAATCTTCTAAGTAAGTTTAAAATTCTGGTTTTGAAATGGGCAAAGCAGCATAGTCTTTGGAGCTGTGAGAGTGATTTTACCCTTTAGGGAGGTCAATTGAAGAAACAGATGAGGATTAGGTGAAACTAAGATTCAGATCATGATGGGGCCTTTTTACTTATAAGAGCTCATGAAAGGATGCAGAATTCCAGATCTTAACTTATCATCAGGAATCAGAGGGACAATAGACTTTGATAGATAGAGGATATCCCTCCCTCCCCACCCCGCCCCGCCTTTTGGGAGAAACTGGAGAATGGAACTGTTTTCATGTGAAAGTAGGGGTTGGGCTTATAAAAAGGATTTGGATGCTGCTCCTAGTCTTCTGAGAAAAATATGATACAAAATACAAATATTTTCAATGAAAATTTTCAGTGGCATTTAATGGAAAGAAAAACTGGTATTTCAGGCACTTGATTCCCATCAGTAGGGTCCAAGCCCTTACTCATCTCAGATAAAGTTTTCTGTGTATGGCATGGTAATTTAACAAGTTCTGTCCTGGGCCAGTAGAAAGACCAGGTCAACCAAGGCACTTTTGATGGTGTGCTGAAAGTCATCGTATTTAAGCAGACTGGCCATTCTTCTCATCTTTAACGTCTGCTCAAATACAAACACCTCTAGCTGCAGTGCACTTATTGGTTTTCAATAGCATCTCTTCTGGCTGCGTGCATCGCCCCACAGATGGTTTCACTTGTTTAGGGCGCTGAGCCAGCTGTCGTCAGCAGTTGTAACTGTATGGCTTTTCCATCAGTCATGTTTGGCAGCCGTCTGTTTGCTGCTCTAAAAAGCAAGATTCTCTACCAGCCCTTCTGGCTTTTGCCATCTGAAAGGACAACAGGAACTCACTTAACAATGATCCTTTCATGTTGGAGACAAACTCCTTTCCAGAACCACATTGGGCTCTTTCTGCTCCAAACAAAAGAGCTCTTGCCACCTATTCATTTTAGAAAACTATTTATTTTAAAGGAGACAAAACGTTGTTGGTGCCCGGATCCTTTGATGCTCACATTGTGTACAACAGGATGAGAGAACAATGTAGTGTAACAAAACTTTCCGAGGCTTGTAATTCTCGCCAGGTGGCCAAAGAAAACACAAAATGTGCTCCAAGTATGTGGGAGAACAAAGAGAAGGACTCTCCCTACTGGTCTTCTCTTTCTAAAACCAGATGAAGAGAAGATTGCTTAAGACTTGGCGGTGGTCTACTGTTAAGTGGTCAAGTTTTCAGTTTCTTTTTCAGCTCCTGGCTTTCAGCTAGAAAGCTTAGTGCTGTCAAATTCTGAGAAAATGAAAAATGTAATTCAGTTTGGAATCACCCCTAGAACACAGAGTTGCCCATGGAAAGGGCATCCAGGTTGAACTTGTTATGATCTACAGGCACAAGGCTGATACATGGCAGGCATTTCATGACAAATGAACACATTTTTAAATTATTATTCCTCATATCGTTGAAAATTACAGAATTTCATACCTGTAAGGAAAGGATTACGGGTTTTACAACTTTCTCTAGTGATTTTTACGTCAACTAAACAGTAAATATTTGGAATAGTGCTTGGCAGTTTTAATTTTTATCTAAAGATAGTTTGCCAACGGCTTTAGGTTTTTCCTAAAGGGTTTTCTTCCTTCCATCCTTTCTCTTTGTTTTAGGTTTTTGGGCCCAGCTAGAAGTGGCATGGCCCTTATGGAAGTGAACCTGCTCAGTGGTTTTACCGTGCCTTCAGATGCAATTCCTCTGAGTGAGACGGTGAAGAAAGTGGAACACGATCATGGAAAACTCAACCTATATTTAGATTCTGTAAGTAGTAAAATGCAAGTTTTGTATAGGCGACAAGGCTGCCATGTATTGTGTTTGAAAGTCTGCCTTGCTCTGTGCGTGGTTCCTTTGTCATTATTTGAGCTTTCTGTGTCCCCGAATGACTCTGACATGGCAAGCACATATTTGTCTCCACTCAACAGGCATCACTATAAAATCGATTTAAAGTGAATACTGTTACTGATGAGCCTGATGAAAAGTATTTCTAGCTAAATCATTATTTCATGCCACATGTAAACTTTGTAGAAATTGTCACATTGTAATTTCAAAAATTCAGTCTTGATCCCAATTTGAGAACCCCTCTGCCTCAGGGAATTGCTAAAATTATCAGTTTCAGTGCTGATGATGAAAGCTTTAATTATGAGTTTTAAAATGCTTTCATGAAGCTTTTAATAAATCCCAAAGGGATTAACATTCCTGCATCGAATATATACATGCTTACATCCTAGAAGAATATTCTCAGAGGTTTGATCTTAACGCAAATTATTATATAATTTTCATATATTCTTCTCATTGTTGTATGAAAATTACTGATCCAAGAATAAAGTGTATAAAATATGTGAGAGAAATGTAAGAATTCAAGAATGTATTTGTAGGGGCGCCTGGGTGGCGCAGTCGGTTAAGCGTCCGACTTCAGCCAGGTCACGATCTCGCGGTCCGGGAGTTCGAGCCCCGCGTCGGGCTCTGGGCTGATGGCTCAGAGCCTGGAGCCTGTTTCCGATTCTGTGTCTCCCTCTCTCTCTGCCCCTCCCCCGTTCATGCTCTGTCTCTCTCTCTCGCAAAAATAAATAAACGTTGAAAAAAAAAAAATTAAAAAAAAAAAAAAAAAAAAAAAAAAAAAAAAAAAAAAAAAAAAGAATGTATTTGTATTCAAAACTGCCGGCATGTAATTTATTCTTGTAACATCTACATGAAACTCAGGTTGAAACGCAATTGAGTTTAAGTATTCTTATGATATCATGTTTTGAGGAGGGAATACCTACCTGCATCTCTTCTTCCAGTTTTGCCAAGTATGAATCAGTAATACATTGCTTTGGCAATATATATACACATTAAAAAAGCTAGTTCTCATTTGTTCATAAACAACTTCATAAACAACTCTGGTTAAAACCCTGTTAAAACTCATCCAAAGTCTCTAGCTTCTTTTTCTGTTCAGGGATTTTCATATCTTACATCCTGTTTGAAAAGCATGGCTTGATTTGGGATGTGAAAAATAAGTTTAAGGTTTTCATTTAATAATGTAATTGATTTTGGTGTTTGTCTCATATCGGTGTTGTACTTGTTTAATGGTTATCTTACTTTGAGTGTCCGGTATGTTCTGACTAATTGACTTTTCTATTGGCACGTAATGGAATATTTGAAGGAACTTATCAATTTCAGACTCCTTTAATAATATTGGTTGCCAAATTGGCATAAACTGCCCCTCCAGGAGGCAAGGAGTTGGCCTTTTGTATGACATGTCAGTTTTTGGTTGTGGGGCGCACAACCCCCACCTGCAGTTACCTCACTTACTGGTGAGATTGCTACCCTGAGCTGAGGGCAATTCTTCAGAGAAGGAGGCTGCTGTGATCCATTAGCAGTAACCTAGGGGGTGTGTTGCCTAGACAGGGATTGGGTGAGGCACCAGGGCCCAGGAGAATGCATCCTTGGATTTACTGCTTAACCCCTCTGATTCTCAGTATCCCTTTTGGTGAAATAGAAATGTGAACAATACCTATCTTGTAAGAATTGTTTCATGAGTTAAGTGAGGTAATTTATGTAACATGCTTATTACCATAGTACTTGGCACCCAGAAATCCTCTCTAAATGTTAGTTTCTGTTTCTTAAGATGATAAGAAAAAGAAGTGTCTTGCTTTGTCACGAACACATAGTCTGTCACCCCCTTAAGAGTCTTTTGTATTTTCAAGGTAAATGAAACCCAGTTTTGTGTTGATATTCCTGCTGTGAGAAACTTTAAAGTTTCAAATACACAAGATGCTTTGGTGTCCATAGTGGATTACTATGAACCAAGTAAGTGTGTTTTAGATTTCCTAATATTTTAGAAGGGAAGCAAGCATTCATTCACGTATTCATGCGTTTATTTGAAGTGGCCACCTATTTTGTGTGTGTGTGGGGGGGGTGGTTGTTGGGGAGAGTGTGGGAGGTGGAGTGCGGGAGGTGAGTTTTCCATTAAAATGAAGACAACTGATAGTTTACAAAAGTCACATGATCCCGTTTAGCCAATGAATATTAAAAAGTGATGTTTTTGCTCATAATTTTAGGTGTTTCCTCATGTTCTAGGTTTTAACTCACAATTACAAAATTTACAAAGAAAAACTGAAATAACCAAGAGCCCAGTTATGTGTGGTTTCCAAGGTTTTGCTTCTGTTCCAAGCAACCCTTTCATCTGTTTCCTGTTTTAAAATGGGATTTCTTCAGGAGAGAACATGAGCCTCCTTTGCAATATAAAATCCTGGGATGGGTTTAGCTGTTTCTTCATTGAGGAAGTCTGTTGTTTTGCTAACATTTATACTAATATTATATCAGATTTTTTTAGCATATCAAGAAAAATATAGTCTATTTGGAAAATAACTTGAGCTTCTTTGGTTTTACTGGTAAGTCGTTACTTTAGAAAATGTTGAAAGTGTAGGACATGAAAGTAGAGATCTGGTTTGTAGATCACCCGGGTTAGTTAGGGCTACTCTACACCCAGTCACAGAGTGACGTTTTGTGAGTGTGTGATCTCTGTAATTGTAATAAGTCTTATTCTGAGTGAGCCCTCCTGATGGCTCAGAATCCTTAGAACGCATGAGATTTGTGGACATTTTCACGTGTTAAGTACTTGTAGATAATTACACTCTAACGTCAAATGAACTTGTTCACATCATTAGTAGTGTTCAGTGGAGTATCATTGAAGACTATGGTTAAGAACACCAGTTCTTTTTCCTTCTAAGTCAACAAGCCGGTTCTTCTCATCTTTCACCCCCTGGTAGAGTTGGGGAAGAGCGTTTGCCCAGGTTCTTGTGGGACATTCTGGGGAGACACTGATGGCAGTACTTCTTTTCTGGTGGGAAGGTGGGATCCACTGCTGAGATTCAATGGTTGTGCCTAGTTACCCAACTTTGTAATTTAAAGTCGTTGCAAAATTCTCCAATGGATGTTTCTTCAGTGAATGGAGAATATTTCAAACATTTAAGAAACAAAAAACATTCGGTCTATGTACAGTTTTTTGTGAAAGGCAACTTATTTATGAGGGTGACATTCTCAAGTGAAAATATGGGAAAGGTCAGAAATAATAGAAACCTACCATCCCATTTTTGAAGAACCTAAAATTAAAAATATACAATATTAAAAACATTAAAAATGTAACAGTATTAAAAAATCATGAATAAATTTAAAAATGGAACGTGGTTTTAAAAACGATAAAAATAAAAATCATTTATGTTGTATAGTAAGTTTACTTTAGTGCTGTAGGAACTTTAGTTTTTTTCTGTTAATATTAGCTTGTACTATAAACTTTACCCAAGTTGAATAGTTTCTAGATACTATATGCTCAATGTTTTATTTATTTATTTTCAAATGTTATTTTTAAGTAATCTCTACACCCAATGTGGGGCTTAACCTCACAACTCTGAGATCAAGAGTCACATGCTCTACTGACTGAGCCAGCCAGGCGCCCCTAAGGTCAACATTTTAAAACATTGAAATGCATTACCTAGGCAGGCTTCTCTTCATCTGTTTGTGTTTTTCAGTGAAGCCCACGGTAAATCTCTTTTCAGTAGTCCTAATGATTAGAGCTTCGCTTGAATGCATAGAAAATGACACCCTAAAATAAAGTCTCCTGGAGGTTAAACAATTCTCAGTTTAAAGTCTTCCCTGTTCCAGTAAGAGAGTCAAGTGTACTTGGGATCATGACGTGCAGCTGCAGTCTGTTTTCTGTCTCCGTGCTGGCCAGCTGCTGGTGGTGGACACAGTGCACGGAAGGCATTGTTTCTCTCTTGGATTTGGTTAGCAGTTTGGGCCCCTCCTTAGCATTTCAGTTGTTTCTTGTAAAGAAAATAAAATTATGCGAAGAATGGAAAACTCAGGACAGTGTATCGAAGTGCTCTTAAGTTTTGGCAGAGTAAATGTTTCTAAACAAGGGATCTGTGTAAACTGATGTCTGCCTCTGCACAGGGAGACGAGCGGTGAGGAGTTACAACTCCGAAGCGAAGCTGTCTTCTTGTGACCTCTGTGGGGACATTCGCGGATGCGGTCCTTGTGAGAGCGGAGCTGCGGCCTCCCTTTGTCGCCCTTCAGAAGTTTTTGTGCTCTGTCTCACGCTTCTGTTTTCTTTGCACCAGTGGCTGTGATTTGTTCTTTAAGGACTCCATGTAACATTGACATTTCCAATCACATATGATTGTCTTGTTTTCGTGATCAAGTATTGCTTCTGACTATTTTTGAAAAATAATTTTTTCTTTTTATGGGGTTGGGGGGGATGGTGCACAGTAGGTCCTAGTATGTATAGCTGCACAGACGTCTTCATTTGACTTCTGTGTAGAACAAAAAATCAGAGTTATTGCAGTTGTATGTCTTTATTTCCCCCTCTTAAAAATAGTTAAGGAGTTTTTCATGGAGGTGTTGTCTTCTCCAGAATAAATGTGTTATTTTAGATTATTCTTTTTATTTTCTAGAGGAAATGCTAGGTTCTTAAGCATTATTGTACACCAGTGTTGGCTTTTGCATTAAAGACAGATGTCTGGGAACTGGGAGAAAACAACCAGAAAGAGGAGCTTTCTCCGTTCCCGTCCAGCATCCACTCTACCCTCTGCCCACTCCACCCCCAGTGGTCCCGGTATATCCTTTTTGATTGGATATCACTCCTTTCTTTTTAAAATGTAGGGGGGCAGAATTTTTCTTTTTAAGAAAAGTGATGTTTTTTCACTCCGGTTGTAATCTCATCCCCCAACCTTTACCCTTCCTTTTTTCCTTCTGGAGAGAAGGAGAGAGAGAATGTGTTTTCCTGTGCTTTGCAGTCTGGTTCAGAGCTTGAGGAGTGTACAGAAACTGCTCCAAGGGGTTCTGGGTGCACAGCCCTCCCTCTCACTTCCTCAGCCTCCCACACTGGGTCTGTTTCAGGGATGAGAGTCAGAGGGCATAGCAGTATGTGCCCTCGGTGATCTAGACTAGAAGATCCTAGACTAGAAGACACAGCTCTGTTAGTAATGGGGCATAATTAGCCAGGGTACAACAAGATCCTGTATGAGACGCAGCAGGCTGGCCTCCCTGTGGTCTGGGAAAGAAGCTGGGGCTTGACAAAGGACAAGAGAGGTGAACATGACTGTTGACCTCAAGTATGGTCAGGTGTTGCCCAGGGTCCTGTAGAAGCTCTTCTAGATTCAGGTGTCTGAGTGTCAGACGGCCGGCCAGCTGTCTAGTGACATGTAATGTTTATGTGAATCTTTAAGATTTTTGAACTTTGAGCACCTGGATAATTGATTACCCTGTATTCTGAAAGATAATATTCATTTATCTGGGTGAAAATTTTAAAGAAAATTTCTTTCTTTCCACCTCCCTCCTTTTTTTCCTTTCTTTTTTTTCTTTTTCTCCTTTCTCGCTTCCTTCTTTCTTCCTTTCCTTCCTTCTTCCTTTCATTTTTCCTTCTAAATATATTGAAATATTTTAGATATATATAAAAAATAAAGATCTCTTCTAAATCTAAGAAATGGTTTACTTTTGCTCCTTAATTCCATGGCATTTCTCTCAAGTGAACCTGAGAAAAATAATTGCCATGGGCTTCAAAAGTCTGCATTACTACATTTTCAACTGTCTAAAAATAAATCCATCGAAAATAAAGTATGCAAATATATCTTTTAAAGTTAATTTTTCAAACTTTTTTTTAATCTTAGTGAATTTTAAGAAATTGTAGTCGGTGTTCAAGAAATTATAGGGGAGTGGATGTTCATATATTCCTTTTGGATATTTTGGATACAAAGGTAGGAGTTACCAAAATTCACTGTTTTGAAGCTTAAAACTTATATGTAGAAAATGATCCTCAGAGAGTGGTCTATGGAGAGGGTGGAAGTTAAATATCAAATAAATAATCTTCTTGTATTTCCTTTTAAATGGATAAAAGCTTGTAGTTCTGTTACACCTTTGAAACAGTCTGATCTAAAAAAGACATTTGTTATGTTTGGGCCTTCCTGTATGGTGTTTTCTGTCTTTATATCCTAGGACATCTTTAAAGATGACAGTATCTTCTGAAGAGGTTGGGGGAGGGTGTTGGCAAAGGATATCCTCCTCCCTTGCCTTGCCCAGGACTCTTATACTGACTCTTATACTGACCACCAGTACCTTATATGCTTCAGTAAATAAGTTGTACTGAACTTCTAGTATAGTATATTGGGAAAGACTAGAATGGAAAGGCCAATAGAAGACAGTTTGTATCTTTTTTAGGCCACATTTCCTCATTTAAAAACTAGAACTTGAATACTTTTTTTGTGAAGCACTTCAGATTTTCAGATTAAAAAGTCATCTTGTAACTGTTCTTGTAATGCATCTCTTTTATTATAAATTTATTAAAAGTGAAGGAGGAGAATGAGGAGGAGGAGGAGAAAGTCAGCTGTGCTTCATGGGGCATGGGGCTGTGGTAATGCCTTGTCTCCATCCTCCTTCATATCTTTTTTAGAGAACTGACTTTGTTACAAGCAGTGGGGTTGGATTAAAAGTGATTAAAAAGCCACAGGAGTAAGGGAAAAGGAGGACCTGTAGTAGTAATAATTAAATGTATAGACTATTTTCTTTTCTTCATATGCTATGAAGAATAATATTTAAAAAACCTCATTTTACCTTTAAGTTTGCTTATGGTGAGATTCTTCCATTTAGAATGCCATCAATTACATTTCCTAATAAGAACTAATTTAAAATTGCCCCTTCTCTTTCACTGAGGGGGAACCTTATTATGACAGCGGTGTAGGTCACTGTCAGTTTTGACTGACCAGTGGTTCCAGAGACTGAATAACTAGTAGCCAAACAATTTAAAGGCAGAACAGCACTTTTATATTGGGTCTTACCATTCTGTCACCTTTAGTTATAATTCTAAAAAGAAATTAAGGCAACTAATAATTTGTTTGCTATATCGATGAGTTCAGAAAAAATTGCCTGGTCAACAAAGTGCTTTTTTTTTTTTTTTAATTGTTCTATTATACTTTATGTTTTTCAAAATACTTTGACAATAGTATATTTGGTTTAGTATTTTGGGTATAGTATAATCTGAGGAGTGTTGTGCTTATATAAAATCCAGATATACATCTATTACCTAACAACTTGTTACTTAAATATGCAATATCATATCCTACATGTGGGGATTTTCAGAGTTATAGATAGCATAATTCTCCCTGCTCCCACTCTTTTGAACCTGGGTATAGTTATTTTTTTAAATTATATTTAGCCTTAATTTCTGTTTATGTAAAATATAGTTATAAATAGTCTGGTAATATAATACCAATTATCTTTGATATAATTCAATTATTTAAGTCAACATTTCTGGCTGTCCTATGACATTTAAAGAAAATTGGAGCTACCATTTTTTTTTTTTTGGTCATTTTTAGAACAAGCTATTTTATTAACCTGCTAGCATATAATCTGGAATTTTTTGTAATAGCCTTATTTTTTTCTCATTTGCTTTATTGAAGTTTCATACTGATTTCTATAGAAATATATTGTAAATACCTCCTTTCTTAACATAAAGACAGTACTTATTTTGAGTTTGCCAAGTGGCTACTATGGGTCCAGATGCCACTATATATTCTTGGAGGCATCATTTTCTTGCACATTAGAAGTCTGAGACACTTATAGTAGGTGGACTTGCTCCTGGGTCAGCTTTAGAGTTTATTCTACCCTCAGTAGAGGCTTCTGTTAGAAGAGTATATTCCTCATTTTTCTTTGTTTTCAAACTCCAGTAAAGCATAGCACTTTTAAAGGCTTAAAAATTTCATAGCATGTATTCAAATGATATTTATGTTAATAGTAAATATCTTAAGTTACATAGGGGATAGTTTGAGGTGCAATTATTTTTATCACTACTTTAAATAGAGGACTTTTATCCTACTTTCTTCCAGAAACCAAGCAGTAAATATGCATTTTTTAAAAGAAACTTTATTTTTTTAAAAGAAATCTTTACCCCCAACGTGGGATTTGCACTCATGACCTTGAGATCAAGACTTGCATGCTCTACCAACTGAGCCGGCCAGGTGCCCCAGTAAGTACACATTTTTAAATAAGTATGTATTAGTGAGAGTAGGCTTGTTTCAAAACTATTTCTAGCCTGTGAGTTGTGTTTTCGTAAGCTTCCTCAAAAGACAGTGCCACACTGCATCATTCCATAAAATGCCATTTTCACTTCAGTTATTGTAATCCAGGAAGCTAGAAATTTTGTAGATGATTTCTGAACTTTTCCTTTCAAAGGACACTTACACATTAATATGTGGGTATCTCTGTAGTAGGGATGGATGATATTGACACACATGTTGCTTCATGTTTTCAGAGTAATTTTATCTCATGTTGTCATGAGGCTACGATTTATAATTCTTCTGCCTATTGTATTGAATTAATGGTAGGGGGTAGTGCCATGTTCCACTTGTGGATCTTTAAGGTTCATCTTTGGTAGCTTGGGTAGAATGTGGCTCTATTTTAACCCTTCAAGGCTTTCTGTTTTGGATTTTTAGGAGGGTGCAGCTGATGTGGTAGAGTCCACTTGTTTTCTACACAGGAAGCTTTACAAAATTTTATTCATAAGTCCCCTATTTTAAGAAGCTCTTTTGCATATGAGAAGAATACTTTTGAAAGAAAACATTATTTTCCCAGAAATTGAAGCATCATATGTTGATCAAAGTGATTCTGAAGGTTTAAATTTTACATGTTAGAATGTTGTGTTATTGTTAATTGTATTCTTTTATGTATCCAGTAGGAAATCATGGTTTATCAATAAAAATTCCCATCTGTTTGTTATCAGTGTTCTTTTTGTTTATTTTAAATCATGTCTATAGCATATCTCCTTTACTTAAACCTACTTAACTATGAGAAGTGGGATGTCGGAGAGTGGGTTTATTGTGTTACAGGAGTTTGACGTGAGTGAGGTGATGGGAACAGCCACCAACCTGCTTCACCTCCCTCCTGATGCTTTGCTGTCGGGCTGGATTGGGGTCTGTGGAGAGGTAAGAGATATACGCCAATAAAAACCATGAAGTGCGAACTCACTCAGCTTGTGGAAGTTATATAGATATAGAATGCAGTTTGTGTACACAGGAAAATGGAGTCATGGATTGTTGTGCAGCTTACTTGTTGTCTCTGGTGGGTACCTTTGATTCTG